AATAAAGAGATTGAATAGCACTGGGCCCAGGACAGAGCCCTGTGGCACTTTAAACAGGTGATACAAAAATACATTTATTTTGTGAGAGAATATGTGCAGATTTTCATGGTGACTGGGGCCAAGATCAACTTGTAATCTGAATTGGAGATAGGACGGAAATAACCTGAATGAAATCAAGTTTGATGATTTGCCCATCCCTAGCCCCACACAGAAACCAGCCAAGAACGTGAACATTTCTTGCAGGCGTGGGAATCATGTAGCCCTCCAGATGCTGTTGGATTCTAAACCCTAACATTCTTCATCTTTTGCTATTCTGGTTAAGTCTGCTGGGTGTTACAGTTCAATAAAATCTGAGGGTTGTATGATTCCCATCTCTAGTTTAGCAGATGCTGCTGGCTTAAAACATTCAGAGCTAACCTAGAGACTTGTTCTTTTTACAACAATCCACAGCAATTTGAGATTCTGTGATCAGCACCGGAAAAGTCCATGGTTGGAAGGTTAAGCAAAACATGTACAGCTGCTGTAAGGGAAGTTGGTTTGGCTGCCTCAGAGACCTCACACAATACGACTGTGGCAGGCAGTTCCAAGTGCAAGGAAACAGTAGATACAGGAGGTTATGAGCTCAGGAGCCTGGGGAAACAAAGGGGCAAGAAAGTGAGAGAAGCATGCAAGAAAGACTAATAAATTCCTGGAAAGATACTTGTCCTGCTGGTGTGATAACATGGAAGATGGAATTCCCTTCATATTTTGTTGGATGTCTTAAAATGGTCAACTACAAAATGGAATGTTTACCCCATTTCTGAGTTTATAATTTTGTACAAACTGGATTATTTAGCCTCATAAATGACAAATCTCAACAACAAAATTCAACCAGCATATTATGATCTGCACACAAGTTTGTGTGTGTTTCATTCCCCAGATATGCTTTCTCTATAGGAAAATCTTGTTAGGATGAAAATTAAAAATTGCATGGGGGGTGGCTGGCTGGTGAATGACTCAACCAAAGAAAATCCATTACAGGCATTTGGAACTTCCTGCAAAGCTTCTTTATTTAAAACAGCAAAAAAAAAAAAAAGCAATAATAGTAAAAATGACTTAGCCTTAGAAGGCTAACTGGAACAGGTTAACCAACTACATAGTTGAAAAAGTTAGATGCAACTACCTGAGATCTTTACATCTCAGAAAACAGACAAAGAAGGACAGGAGCTAAACAATGGCTGCAAGATCCACATGTTTCAGCCCACCTTGCTCCACCTTCGTGGGCGTAGTCTCTTCAGACTGATTGGTCAAACATGTATGATGTGTCTCTAGTCCAACCCTTAAATTACCATAATAGAACATGTGACTACAATTCCCAAAACAATGAATGTTGATTTTTCTTAACATAAACATTAGCTCATTCTCATGAAGCTTAACCTTGCTGGCTTCACTTGTTTGGACTAGATTCACACCTGGTACTGATAACATGTGGCTCTGGCCTTGTAGAAAAAAAACATCTTTTACACAGCATGTAAAAATACAGACACACATCATTGCATTTCAACATTTTAAAATCATTGACTCTATATCCCATTAAAATCCTAACAAATCTAACTTTAAGAATGTCCTCCAGAGAACTGTTGGGCCTGGGATGGAATGATAAGGGTTCCTAAAGGGCAGAAATGAATGGATGAAAATCATCTACTTTAAAGCATTTTCTTTATTTTCCTTCTACATACAGAGAAACCACTTCCTCTACACTATAGGAGGGGAAGCCATTTCTTTAATTTAGAGTCTGGCTTTAAGAACACATTTATTCAGATTACTTCATGCTGTTGGGCAATAAAATAATGAAACAAGAAAATAAATCCCTAGTAAAATATATGTTACTGTATATTGCACAGTATGCAACCGATTACATATTAACTAATGTATACAATGTCTTACTCTTGTATATAGAGAGATTTTGTAATAGAACAAACTCTAAGGTCAAAGAGTGCACAAGAAAAAATGAATATAAAATTATATATTCGTCAGTTATGTTGATGATGGCCTATTGAGAGGATACAGTGAACTTAAGTATACATAGTTGGCACTACTTTTGTGGTGTAAGGCACATGCTGTGAGGCATATGCTTTGTTTTAAAGTTATTTTCATAATTCTCGGTTATTGTAATGTAAAAGCATTGCTTCTCATTCAAAACAGGGAGAACATGATCCAAAGCAAAGCTCAGAAAGTTACTTTTAAAGAGTAATCAGTTGCACTCACAGTTCTAGGTCTCTCAAAGTAATTACTGTCACAACTCCTTTTTTAAAAAAGTAGCTTTCCGCTTTGTTTCTTTTAATTGCTTTTTAAACACATCTAAACACTTGCTATAAAACACACACCCCATCCCCCTTGTCACCTCAACACCCACAGGAGACCTCAGAGCAACAGCATGAAACATCACACTTTTCAGCGCTTGAAGCACAGTAATATTCTTTCTACCATTTAGTAGGGTTGCACACCTTGTGTCTTTAGTTTTTAATGGTGTGTGCTGAATTTTTATTTTCATTATGATTTAAATATGTTTTCAAATTAATACTTAATAGGATCATATGTTTAATGGTTTTTAACTTTTTGTATTAGATATTATAATTGTGGCAGCAGGGGTGTTATCCTACACTGTAAGCCACCTTGGGTCCCATATTGGGATGAAGGAGTGGTATAAATAAATAAATAAATACACTATAAAAGTTACTAAAAGTTGGTATTACACCACAAAGGTAGTGGCACTATCTTTCACTAAACTGCGCTTAAATACAGTAGTGTATATTTAATACTGTTTCTCTCTGGCTTTTCTTCGCAAATGAAGATTCAGGAAGGACTCATCCCACACTTTCTGCAAGCGCACTGATGACTAAAAAGGCCAATCCGAGATAAACAAGTCCGGTTGCAGAAAGCACAGTAGAAGGTCTCCTTAGGTGATGTTTCCGGGTTGTGATTCTTTCTGCGTTGTCATTTCTTTTTGAGACTTGTTTGACATGAGTTCTCAAATAAAGCTGCAGCATTGTGGATAGTGTGTATGCCTCCCAATGTGAGGCCAGGGCGGACTATTGTTGCTGATCAATTTGGTCAAGCTTGAGATGTTGTTTCAGGGAGTCCTTGTATCACTTTTTTGGGGCACCCCTCTTATGCTGATTCATGGCAAATTCACCATAGAGTACTATTTTTGGGAGGTGATGGTCCTCCATCCTAGAAACGTGGCCTGTCCAGCACAGCTGCATTCTCAATAGCATGGCTTCGAAACTGGTGATCCCTGCTTGCTCAAGGACAGCAACATTCATCCGTTGTCATAATTTAATACATTTCTTCCTTTTGTTGCTGGTGAAAGGAATTAATTACAAGTAACAAGTTGTTTGGGATCAGTACACTCTCCAAGCACCAGATCCTTTCTGATTTTGGAAGCTAAGGAGGATCAGCTCTGGTTAGTCCATGGATAGGTGATCACCAATAAATACCAGGTGCTGTAAGCTATATTTCAGAGGAAGGAAATGCAAAACCACATCTGAGTATTCCTTGCCTAAGAAAACCCAGTGAAATTCATGTATTCACCATAAGTCAATAGGTAACTTGAAGATACTTGCACACACATAACAAGTTGTTTGAACCTAGTTATTCTAACGGTCTGAAAAAGCTCCATGTGTGTTTGTTGTCTGTTGTTAACTAACTAGCATTATTATAATTTTTCCAGTGAGACATGCTTTCTCATGATGTGGTCAAAGTATGACAGCCTAAGTTTAATCAT